ATTGCCCTCTTACTACCTCTACGACCTCAGGCATATTTGTTATTCCTAAGACATGACTCCCTCTTATGTACTATGCCTATCTCACAAAGTTACTGTCAAGATCAAATGAGGTAATGGAAAATAATAGCAGTTTAAATTATTGAGAGGTAAATATTCATTAAGAACCTACCCTGTGTTTTTGTTTAATCATCACAACAATCCTGAGGTTGATTATCATTCCCATTTTTATAAAGACAACTTGTCACAGAGAGCTTACATAATTTGCCCAAGGGTGCATAGTTATTAAGAGGTGGAATTAAAATTTTTCAGATAGTCTGACTCCAGAGCCAAACCTCTTAGCCAAAATACTACATTGCTAACTAAGTGTCAGCTCCATTCCTTTAGATTTTGTAAAACTTGGCTATATAACATTACTAGCTTTTTCAAATTTATAATGTCTAAAACTCCTAGAATAGAAATTTTTCTTTAGATTTCCTAGAGATATAATAACAAATCTATTCAAAACACTCCACAAAAATTCAAATGAAATTTAGGCAAAAAAATAATGTTGGAGGATTAATTTAGTAAACATATTAGCCTAGTGACTTGCCAATTACCTGTCTTCTATACAGTAACTAGTTACATTCTTCAGTATGATACATACATATACATACATGTATATATATATAATTGAATCTTAAATAAATCCATTCTTAAATAAATCCATTTAGTAGTCCACCTAGAGGGTTGATTACTGTTTAGTAACTCACTCCAAATCAAAAATTAAAAACTGAGGGGTTAATCTTAGGCATTAAAGAAATACAAAATCTGATAGATCCAACTGTTTTCTAATTTGAAAAATGCTATCATAAGCCATTTACTTAGATTGCTTTCTTTAACATTCCAAATTTCAATTGTAATGTGAAATTTGGAGAACACTGCCATCCAGGGATAGAGAACTGAAAGTGCAGAGACAGAAAACCAAAAATTTACGGCAGTAGTTCTCGGTATTGAAACACTCAGTTGGTGCTGCAATCTCTTGTGAGGGAATTACCAATAACTGTTCAATTATTAAAGATTTTAAATGGCACCACATGCTTAAAAAATGACAGGATTCCCCAAAACTGCTCTTTCACCCACCATTCAAATAAGAGAAAGGTATAGCACTACAATCACCTTGTTAGTACCAGCCCATGATTTTCCTTTTAAAAACAATTCACTGAGGGGCGCCTGGATGGCTCAGTCGTTAAGTGTCTGCCTTCGGCTCAGGTCATAATCCCAGAGTCCTGGGATCAAGCTCCGCGTCGGGCTCCTTGCTCAGCGGGAAGCCTGCTTCTCCCTTTCCCACTCCCCCTGCTTGTGTTCCCTCTCTTGCTGTGTCTCTCTCTGTCAAATAAATAAATGAAATCTTTAAAAAAAATAAAAACCTTCACTGAGGTTATAATATACAAAAAGCTATACACAATTAATTTAGTCAACCAAATAACTTTGGAGGTAAGTATATACCAGGAAACCATAACCACAATCTATGCCATTAGTATATCCAACACTTCTCAATTTTTTTCCTACCCTCTTTATTGCTTACAGGTTTTTTTTTTTTTGAGGATAAAAACACTCAACATAAGATCTATCCTCTCAGCAAATTTTAAGTATCCAATACTGTTAACTATAAGCACTATGCTGTGCAGTAAATCTCGAGGACTTATTCACCCATATAACTAAAACTCTGTACCCTTTGACTAATACCTCCCCATTTTTCCCTCAATCCAGCCCCTGGCAACCACCATTCTACTCCTTCCTTCTCTGAATTTGACTGCCTTAGATTCATGTAAGTGTTTAATGTAGTATTTGTCCTTCTGTGTCTGGTTATTTTACTTGGCACAATGTCCTAATATCAATTGATATCTAATACTTAACGATAGAAATGGCAGTCATCAGGCGTGTTAGATAAAGAAAAGATTATTTTTTTAAGATTTTATTTATTTATTTATTTGAGAGAGAGAGAGAAAGCATGAGAGTGGTGAGGGTCAGAGGGAGAAGCAGACTCCCTGCTGAGCAGAGAGCCCTATGTGGGACTTGATCCTGGGACTCCGGAATTGTGACCTGAGCTGAAGGCAGACACTTAACCGACTGAGCCACCCAGGCGCCCAAAAAGATTATTTTTGAGGTAATTTTCTTTTCTCAGAGAAAGTGTCCTGAATTGTATGTCCTCCCCCCAATCCATATATTGAAGCTAAAATCCCCAATGTGATGGTATTTGGAGATAAGTCTTAGGGAGGTAATTAAGATGAAATGAAGTTCTAAAGGTAGAGCCCGAATCCAACAGAATCAGTATTTTTAAATGAAAATCAATAGACACCAGAGAGAGAAAGACCAGAGAAGTCCCTCTCCAGATGTGTACGTTGTAAAGGCCATCTGAGGACACAACAAAAAGGCTGTGTCTGCAAGCCAGGAAGAGAACCTTCACCAGAAGCAAACCTGATGGCACTCTGATCTTGGACTTCTACCCTTCAGAACTGTAAGAAAATAATTTCTGTTGTTTGAGCCACCCAGTATGTGGTATTTTGTTATGGCAACCAGAGTAGCCAAATATAGTGGGATTTGACAAACTCTTGAGAAACTTGAAACTGGAAAACTGGATCCCCATCCAACATGCTGTTGGATCCTTACTTTCACTAATAGAACACTGTAATAAGGAGGAAAGAGGTCTCACACTAGTTGCTTTTAATGATAATAAACTTGTTGTTTCATATATCTGACAGCATTTAACTGATCCAGGTCAACCCTTAAGGGAAAAAAAAGGTAAAGATGGTTTGATGTGTTGCTTTTGAGAGAAACCTGTAGTTTCTGATTAACACTAAAACATTGTTATTACTAGAAGAAATGTGAATAGCATAATAAGAGGTTAGTAGAGTCATCTTTGCAAAGAATCAAGGAAGTTTTTCAGATTGCAGCATTAAAATGGGGAGATGGATTGAGCTGGAAGTGATGTATCAGGGACAATGGAAAATTACTACTCACTTTTAAAAAGAGCATCTAGGTTTTCAACGAGCTTACATTATAAAAGAACAGTCTTTACAGAAAAAATTTAAAATTAAACTGTTATAAATAATATAAAAATGATCTGCTCATGAGAAAAATTAACCTCTGTTGGGAGCTATGGAAAGGATCCTTTAAAAGAATAGATGGAACTTAACCTCGTCTTGAAAAGTAGCCATTGAGAAAGCAGAGTTGGCAGTGGGAAAGGTCAAGGAGAGAGCCTGGGCTAAGAAAAGGTAGAAAACAAAGACTGACATGAGAAGATGATGCTGGCTGGACAAATGAGGTGTTGGACAAGAGGGATGGTCCAGAGAAAACATACAGGGCCTTTAAGAGCCACAGACGCTTTCTGAAGTATCATGGAATCATAACAACACTTTTCTCCCCAATGAGAAGACACGTTTTTATAAAGCTCTACACTTATCTTTAAGGTGCCCTTTCCTGTGTATTTATGTATGGAGTGTCTACTACCTACCTTAGTTGAAGAAGCCATTACAGTCTAGGAACTCAGCTTTAAGAAGGAGAAGTAAATGAATGAGAAGACAATTACAATTCAGTGTATGGCTCGTTAGTGGCAAAACCACTTCCTATTCAAATAGGAAGTCAACTATGTATGTATTTGTGCCCAAATCACACATTAAATTAAAAGAATACCAACCCAAATGCAAGTCTGAGTTAACATAATTTGAGTACAGAATCCTGACTTAGGAGCATGGGCTCTGGGCAGGGCCTACAGAGGCTCATAAGTAGGCCTAGTTTAAATGTTCTTTCAATCAGTGCTGAAATTCTTCATTTTTTCTGTGAATCTGAGTTTTGTATGCGAAGTCCAGGGAGACAACGAAACATATTTCAAGGGCTTAGTCTCAGGTCACCTGTGGTTCTGCCTCCCACATGCTCCACTTGGGTTAAGTGCCTTCCCACTTTCTTGTCTCTGCCCAGCAACTGCTGCCATCTTGTCCAAAACATGCATCCACCCTAACTAAGTCCTGGGGTGCAAGTCCCAAGCACCTGTGAGGGTCTGCACTAGAGCCACCCATATCCCTGTGCTTGAGAGAATGACACATTACATACCAAATAAAAACACATGACGGGGCAAAAGACACTATGGAAGAAAAGAAAAAAACTTTTCCTACTTTTTGAAGGAGGGATCTTGCATTTTCACTTTGCCCTGGGCTCTGCAGATGTGTGTAACCAGCCCCACAGTCCTCTGGCAGTGGTTGGCCCCAGCTGGGCAACTATGGATGAGAAACCTGGCTCCTCAGAAGTCAGTTTCCACATCTGTAAAATAAGAATAGTTCCTATGTCCTTACATTTCTGTGAATATTTTGGAGACAATTCATGCAGAGCTTTTGCCCCAGACTTTGATCCATTTTAATGATCAATACGACCAGGTGTTAACTATTAATTAAAAGATTATCTAATTCAGATTGACTCCCTAATGCCTCCGCTGCCTACAGGCTAATACTTCAGCCATTCCCATAGGCAGTTGCAAATGTGCTTTAAACATTTGGCTTTAAACGTTCAACTTTTTCTTTTTGGGTTTCCTTTAAATTTAAACGTTCATTGCCTAAATTTAAACCTTATTACAGTGTACAGAAAAAAAATATGTTCGTGCTTCAGCTATAACGTGAGCCTAGGGAGAAAAAGCTGTGTCTAATGAGGACTGTTTGTTATAAGCACAAGAATCTTCACAAACGCCAGATAAAAATTCAAAGAAAAATTGGTCACCCAACTGCTCCTTTCGTAAAAGGGCTGTCACCCCCACTGGGACACAAAAACATGGTCCTTAGAAAGCCGGGCCACGTCTACAGACGAATATAATAAAATCAGCATCTTGAAAAACTTCTAAACTTGGCAACAGCTTTCGGAGCGCCCCCTGGGCCACCTGCCCGTGCCTGGTTTCCATAGAAACGCGCAGTTCCGGCGCGTAGCACTCCACTCCGGAAGTTGTTCTCACTCGCTTCCGTTCTCCCCCTCGGAGAGTCAATCGGCCTATTGCTCAAGCGTCGGCTTGAACGGACGGCGGATGAGTTTTGGGCCGCAAAGGCTGCCGTAGAGGGGCGTGGCGATGGAGCCGCGATTCGGTTCCCGTAGTTCACGTGCCGGCCGCCGCGGATCTTCTCAGACCTACCATGGCTCAGCCGGAGACGTTAAACCTCAATAACGAGGTAGGCGCAGAGGCCGGGGGAACTTGTGGGGCTGCCCTTCAGGACCCCCTGAATGCCTTCTCTGGGTCTTTCTGACGGGCCCGTGGTCTCCTGGGGGCGAGGGTAGGGCGTGTGGCTGGGGCCGCTTCTGGGTGGGCCCAGGCAGGTTTCCCGGAACTGGGAGCCTGGCCACAGTAACCGCCTCACGGTTCGTAGGTGGCTGATGCGGAAGACCTGTTTCTGGCCCTCGGGCCCCCTGAATTTTTATCTGTGGGATGTTGGGAAGATCATGTAATCTTAATCTAAATCAGTGTCTTCGTCTGTAGAACGACGCTCATGATAGTACCCCCTTCGCAAGGTGGTTGTGAGATTTAAAGGTAATTGGAGTATGGGAAGTGTTCGCACAGTGCCGGACACCAAATAAACTCTCTACGCATTACCTGCCTTTTATTGGATGCCGGAAGTGAAGGGGAGGGGTGGAGAGCTATAGCTTTTACTAAGATTGCTGATCTTCAATGCCATCGTATCGTTTATAAGGCTGTGCGCCCAGGACCACGTTTCTTACTCCAGCTACTGTCCCATTTTTCTCCTTCCGTTTACGCAAAGTTTTTAAAGAGAGCTGTTTATACTTGCCGTCCCTAATTTCTCTTCTTTCTTAAATTCGGTCTGAAATCAGGTGTTGGCACTTAGTCACTGCTAATAGAAAATGTCAGTGTCGCTAGGCTACCATTTCTGCCGCTTTCCCCTTTTCTAGTTTCTGGTTCTATTTAAGGAAGTTATAAGACACCTGAAGATTTAAAGTAAGCTGGAAAAGCAAGAATCAAATGAAGACCTCACAGCTACAGGAAAGGAAGTTCTTTATGTTCATTATTCAGTGGCTGTTTAAGTGTTTGCTGTCAGCAAGATAGACTGTTCATGTTGTACAGTTGTGTGTAGACATACTTTCTGCTTTCAGGCAACCTATACTCAGATAGAAAAGGGTAGGCAACACCCACCGATGGTACAGAATCATGCCCAGAAGAACAAGTGGTGCAGAAAGGTTGCCAAAGAAGGCAAAATGAATTCTCTTTAAGGATCCTACACTGGAATTGCATTATTGAATCAGTGAAGGGGAAGAAGGCATTCCAGGCGGAGAGACTGGTATAAGGCGGTAAGAGATGGTAGTAGAAACCTGCTTGGGTGATAAAGGGCTAGATAACTCTCCAGAGATGAGAACTTCGGGGATTAAGTAGGAAATGAAACTCAATTATATTTCTGCCTTACTGCCAGATTATTAAGTCCGAATTTCAGTTGACAGTGGAGTACAGAATATAGTGAAGGGGGAAATTCTGAAGATGTTTAACATATATTCGTAAACATACGTTAAGCTTGTGCTCCTTCCAGAAAACATTTGGTGGGCTTTTTCTCATTAGTTTGCCCAGGACATATAAAATAGTTTAATTGGATATCCTTGGGAATTTTTTGAAATACTAGTGAGCTTCCTATTCAGTTTTGAAATTGCCCTTGGAGTCATTTAGCACTCTTCACTTAAGGTGTTTTCTTTTTCCACCTAACTAATTCCCAGGCCTCTTTAAAACACTTAAAATTAAGAATTCCTCACTAATTCACCTCAATCTAGGCTAAATGTCCGTTCTTTGTGCGACCACTTTCTACTCTTGAAGCACTTTCTACCTCTTTCTTTGTTTTTGTGTAGCTGTCTACTACCTACAACGTAAGTGCTCTATGACAGTGTTTGCTGGGCGACTAGATGAGCTTATCAAATTAGGAAGTGTATACATCCCATGTTAAAGTAAATCTTACACGTTCTCATATGAAGGTGGGGGAAAGGACAGCGGAAGTGGAGATGATGAAAGGTGTTAGAATTTAAAACAAATGGGAGAAAAATATCTACAAAGGGGAAAACAGATATAGATTTGTCTACATAAAAACTGCTAAACATCCCCAAATTTAAAAAAGACAGCCGATTAGAAGAAAATACATAAGAGATATAACAGGTAAGTGGCTAATATCATTACTGTGAAATAGTAATTAAGAAAAACTGCCTCTTAGAACATGATAAAAGAAATGAATTAACAACAACTTCCCCAAGGAAGAAATATATCTGCAAAAGAGGTCACATTCACTACTTTAATGTATCCGTTACTTTTTCATCATCATCCCATCCTAGTCCAGGTTACATCTCTCACCAGAACTACCCTTTGGGCCTTCCAGCTACTGTCCTGACTCTTCTCCGTCTAGTCTGATCTCCGTAGTGCAGCTGGAGTGCTCTCTTCAAAAGAGAAATCTAATTTCCTGACTCCCTTGCGTACAGCCTTTTTGATGGTTTCCTGTTGCTTTTGGTAAAGACCAGTCTAAACAAGGCCAGTCTCCTCTCCCCCTTAGAGTATACCACTGCTTGCCCCCACATCAGCCTCACTGGCCTTCCTCCACTAGGTAGCATAGCGCTCTTAAACATCCTTTGCACAAGTTCTTCCTTTTACCCAAAACCCCTTTTCCTCTCAGTCCATTTCATATTTCTACTTTACTTGCTATTTCTCAGGGAAACAGGGTTTGACTTTCATTTTAGTTCTTCTGTAAACTTCTGTAACACCATTTACTTCTTTTCAGCACTTGGAAGAGTTGCTGAGTGTTATGTGTGTGTGAATGTGAGAGATTTCTTTCCTCCACCTGTCTGGAAGCTTTTGCTCACCATCCTATCCTCAGTACTGATGTGTTCAGTGAGAAACTTGAGCCATCATTTTTATGATACTTAATAACTTAAATTAGCTCTCCCTAACTGGGATTTAGGAATTCAGGGATACTATAACTACCTGAAATTTTGTGTAAATTGGTGTTTGTGTGCGTGCCTCTTGGGGGAAAAAAGTCCATAGGTTTCATCAGATTCTCAAACATTTCTAAATCTCTGTTATTATCTTTAGGATATTGGTACTTGTTATCTCTGCATGATTTTTAATTATGACTTTTCTTTTAAATAATTTAAATAATTAAATAGCATATTTAATTTCCCAAAATGTCTTTTGTGAAAATAAAAAGCCTGACTGCGCAGGCACCTATTATATTATGCTAACTTTCAGTGTCTTCTACCCTTAATATTTTTATTCTTTTCAAAAATTTTCCAAGGAGAAAAGCTGACATTTATATTTGACTACCCGATTCTAAGTTCTTAAAATAACGTTTATTCTTCAGTATGTAAAATCTTACCTTTTTAATTTTACCTTTACTTTTCTTCAAAAAAAATTACTTTTTACTTCACCTTATGATCATTTATTACATTTTTTATTTTGACCAGTACTTTACATGGACCTCGAAGTGAGAATATTTAACTGACTTAAAGCAACTTCCCTAGCCTCAAGCATAGTACCTTGTTTACAGGTAATAATGAGTAAATAGTGTTGGGCAGATGAAAGTATAGATGGCTCAACATGAGTTACTTTATGTTCACATGAGGGAGGGAAATCTCCTAACTGTACACTTTTTTTCCCCTCCCTCTCCGTTAGAACTAGAGAAGGGACTCACAATTGGAAACAACAGCGGCCCTAGCATCTAGTGAATAAAGAATTTGTAAAACGAGAGCTGAATTTGCTCCAGTCATGTTTCTTTAGGCAGCAGTGAAATGCAAATTCAGAACTAGGAAGTGAACCAATCTGATCATGTACTTTAATTCTGTAGGAGGGCCAAGGGCCTTTATATTAAAGAGACATTATTTTATTCCTGATAACAAATTACCAAGAAGCCCATTAGACAATTGCTTTCCACTTCCTATAAGATGGTAAAGGTAGACTCTAAAGCGCCAGAGGACAAAGTGATTTGCCTCCACATATTGTAAAAGATAAGAATGTCAAGAACTGTATTTGTATGTGCTTTTGAAGTTACATAGCTCCTATTTCATAATTGAGTGCATAGTACTTTTTAATATTTTTTTCCCGAAGTAGTAAATCAGGGTCTATCCATAAGAAGAGAACCGTTTTGTTTGGTTGTTAAGCTATTCTGGGAAGTTTTGCTAGGTGGCAGTATATGCTCAGTAATGATTAAGTTGTAGCTAATCACCAAGCATTCTAGAATTTTTGAATTGCTGCTCATCAAAAGTAAAAAAATACAATTCAACAGTAAGTTGTCATCCAAATGGCCAAATTAGAATCCCTCTCTGTAATTAATACCACAATAATTAATACATAATTAATTTTGTCAACCATGAAGTCGTTCATATGGAAGATAATACAACAAATGTCCCTATAATCTACTTCTTATATTTAGCAAGTGTCAATATTTTGCTATATTGTAATGCTTCATTCCACCTACCTTCTTCTCTGTCTCAGAAGTAATTCTTACTCTTCCAGTGTAATTTTCTCATCCACATCTTTTTGTAATTTAGTAACATATACCAGCATTTATTATCTTATATATGCCCAGAGTATTATGTAGTATATTTTTAAATTTGCGTGTTGCTGTGTTAATGCATGTTGTACCACCGGTATCATTATAAAAGTTACTTCTCAGGGCACCTGGGTGGTTCAGTCCATGAAGCTTCTGCCTTTGGCTCAGGTCATGATCTCGGGGTCCTGGGATCGAACCCAGAGTCGGGCTCCACACTCAGTGGGGAGTCTGCTTGTCCCTCTGTACCCCCTCTCCTGCATGTGTGCACGCGCTCTCTCTCTCTCTCTCAAATAAATAAATAAAATCTTTAAAAAAATCTTTACAAGTCCCTTTTCACCACACAATTTTGGGGTTTACTCATGATAATACATGCATATCTCCTGCATTGATTTAGAACACCACATTGCTTGTGCTTTATTTATATGCATTATTTTATCTCTTTTGCACAATTTTGTAGGAACTCTGCAGTGAACAGTCTTGTGCATAGGCTTTTCCTGTTGTTGGAGGTGTGTCTCCTTGATGGGTTCCTAGAAGCAGGATTTTTGTTAGATGTTGGCCAGAGTCTCCTCCAGAAAGAGCATATCAGTTTGTATTTCTGTCAGCAGCATATGCTTTCTAATAACCATGGGTTTTTGTTAGAAGTTAAT